TCCTATTCTCTTTCCCCTGTAGTAAGTATGAGGGGATTTTTCTCTGATATTTACTTCAAGAACCTGGTTGAGCTTCTGATAGTACAACTCACAAAAGCATGAGACCCATATGCACAGGCCTCCTGGAGGTTTTAACTCTCAGACGTGGCCACACCTCACTGCAGCAATTTGTCAATTCCAGTTCAGGCTTTCCAATCCCAGCGTGGGTTCCTTGGAGCATTGTGCTCCAGTGTATGGTGATTCTCCGCTTTACCTGTCCAGCCAATCTGGGGAGAGTGGCTTGCCTGTGACCTCACGTCTCTTGCAGGTTTAAGAGGAACTGCCGATTTTTCAGTTTGCTCAGCTTTTTACCTGTGAGGAGGGAGTGACAATTCTCAAGATTATCGTGTACGGAACCTGAAATTCCCCAACTCCATTAGAGTAAAAAGTGTCTTCCCTTCCTCTGGCTCAAGAATTAAAATATTTTCGTTCTTTGACACATTTTAATTTGATTCCCTAAATATTTATAATTGTAGATTTAAAAACTCGGTCTTCTGCTGTATCAGACATCTAGACTGGCACTTTCCAACAGAATTATGAGAGTCCTGTTATAGAACTTTAAATCTTCCTTGTAGCCTCATATAAATATATAAACAGGTACAATTAATTTTACTAGTATATTTTTAACTCAAAATGCTCATACTATACTTTAAATAAGAAACACAAATAGGCCAGGTGCGGTGGCTCACATCTGTAATCCCAGCACTTTGGGAGGCTGAGGCGGGCGGATCACGAGGTCAGGAGATCGAGCCCATCCTGGCTAACACGGAGAAACCCCGTCTCTACTAAAAATACACAAAATTAGCCGGGCGTGGTGGCGGCGCCTGTGGTCCCAGCTATTCGGGAGGCTGAGGCAGGGGAATGGCGTGAACCCGGGGGGCGGAGCTTGCAGTGAGCTGAGATGGCGCCACTCACTCCAGCCTGGGACACAAAGCGAGACTCTGTCTCAAAAAACAAAATAAATAAATAAATACAAATAAAATATTTTCTATTTTTTATATTAACTGGCATGTCTCTCACGTAGCAAATCCACAGCCGCCGCATGTGGTGAGAGACCATCCTGCATGTGTGTGCACTTTTCACTGCCTTTTTCTTGACCACAGATTCTACCTCCCGTTTCTGTGTATGCAGTGATTATTTGCTGAATATTACACATTGTGGGTAACATGTTGAGCACGCTCAGGATCCCTAACCTTCCTCTGAAGCTTTCCAGCTCTTGTTTTAGCAGGTAGCACAGGCACTGCTGGGTCATTGTGACATGGGCAGGCTTGGATTGATTCGCTGCTGGTGTGGATCTGTGGAGAGCTCCAATCCTGCACCCACTCCGATCTCTGCCTCCTGGACGTGGTAGGGTGACATGCTCCGCCCACACCTGAGCCCTCTCCAAGCTCTGCCTCCTGGACGTGGTAGGGTGGCCATGCTCTGCCCACAGGCTCTGTCTGATCTCCGCCTTCTGGACGTCGTGTTTGTGGATGTTATGCTCGGCCCACACCTGAGCTCTGTCTGATCTCACGCCTTCTGGACGTATGGTAGGGTGACATGCTCCGCCACCTGAGCCCTCTCACGCTCCGCCTCCCGGACGTGGTAGGGTGGCTTGTGCTCGCCACACACCTGTGGTAGGGTGACATGCTCCGCCCACACCTGAGCCCTCTCCAAGCTCCGCCTCCCGGACGTGGTAGGGTGGCCATGCTCCGCCCACACCTGAGCTCTCGGTGCCACGGTCTGCAGGTGTTCTCCAGGCAGAGAGCAAGTGTACTGTGGGTGCGTCTCATTCATTCTCCGGCCCTCAGGTTCTGGATAGCACAGCTGTGCTCAGACTAAAAACAGCCATCTCATTCGCTTTGTGCAGTTTTACAGTTGTTTACGGCAGATGTGTGATTTGGGTCCCTGTTCTCTCATTATGGCTAGAAGAAGTTTTGGCAAATTATTCTTATATCTTTACATTTGAAAACTAAAGGAAAGCTTCACCCATAGAATATTAGCGGTGGGACAATCCTAATGAGAGTTTCTCCAGAAACTATGATCCAGGTCAGCAGCCAGTCATTTCATTGAAGATAAACTTCAAGAACATTCTCTGAAGCGCAATGACACTGAGTAAGATCTAACCACTGTTACCAACAACCAAGAAAAATAGGTAAGAAAATGCAGCTAAGACTTTGTTCAAGGAAATATGGTAATAAACATGCAAACTACCACTAAGCACAAAATAGGCTGGGAGTAAAAAATTTTTATGATATTGACATTTATGATTGTACAAAACTGCCCCATGTGATATCACGAGGACTCCTGATGAAAATTTACAAACGATGCTTTATGGTTTATATGAAAATGCTAGTCAAATAAATCCAAATATTTCACAAAAATAACATTTCAAATAATTTTCTTTTATATTTTGCAGACATCTGTACAATGAGGTTATTCATCACGCATGACCCAGTAACATTTCTCAGCAGTTGGATTCAATATGAGAAATAAGCAAATAACAGCACTGCTTCTTCCATTTCAAAGTCATCATTTCTCTTATAAAAAGTGGTCAAGAAAAATGCCTGTTGCCTTAAATACTAGTTAGTGCCAAAAATGTGGTTTAAAATATTTCAAGTGGGTTATCCTCTTAACGTCCATGTTGTTAGTTACACAAATAACACGTACAATTTTTTACCACATTATAAGTTTTGGCAAATTATAACCATAAACTGAACAAACAGGATTAAGCATATTATTTTTTGAGATAGGGTCTTGCTCTGTTGCCCAGGCTGGAGTGCAGTGGCACGATCATGGCTCACTGCAGCCTCAACCTCCCTGGGCCCAAGTGATCCTCCCAGCCCAGCCTCCTGAGCAGCTGGGACCACAGGCACACACCACCATGCCTGGCTGATTTCTGTATTTTCTGTAGGGATGGGGTTTGGAATGTTGCCCAGGCTAGTCTCAAACACCAGGACTCAAGCAATCTGCCTGCCTTGGCTTCCCAAAGTGCTGAGGTTAGAGGCATGAGCCACCACGCCTGGCCTAATCATTTTTAAAGAGTCTCTATTTATTATCATTTTTTCTAATTGAGATGGGAGTCTTGCTCTGTTGCCCCGGCTGGAGTGCAGTGGTGCCATCTCAGCTGATAGCAACCTCTGCCTCCTGGGCTCAAGTGATTCTCCCACCTCAGCCTCCCAAGTAGCTGGGACTACAGGTGTACACCACCAGGCCCAGCTAGTTTTTTGTACTTTTGGTGGAGACAAAATGTACAAAAGGCATTTCTGTACATTTTGCCATATTTTCCAGGCTGGCCTTGAACCCTTGGGCTCAAGCCATACACCTGCCCTGGACTCCCAAAGTGCTGGAGTTATAGGCATGAGCTACCCTGCTCAGCCCTTAATTATGTGCTGTGGCTTAATATTAAAATAAAGAAAGGGAGGAGTCCAAGGGAGCACATTGGCAGAAAGGACTCCTTTACCAACAACCTTGCTAGCACGGTGTTCACTCCCTTGCCCGCTGGCACTGCGTTCTTTAGATGAAGAACACTTTATGTGTAAATGAAAAACAAGAACAACATAGGAACACCCTGTCTCTACAAACACTTAAAACTTAGCTGGGTGTGGTGGTGAGCATCTGTGGTCCCAGTTGCTTGAGGCTGAAGTGGGAGGACCACTGGAGCCCAGGTTGTCACAGCTGCAGTGAGCCAAAAGCTGTGATCACAATGAATTCCAACCTTGGTGACAGAGCAAGACCTTGTCTCAAAACAAAAAGCAACGAAAACCCAAAATGATGCACTCTTTAAGTTCTGTCCTATAAATTTCAGTACTTTCATTTGTAAAGGTACATAAAGGTGAGACTCAGGAGCTGCTTGGAATAACGTGGGCATACGCTTGACCTCAGCTCTGATCTGAAGACCGTCCTTCTGTCTCACTGCTTGCCAAGACTAAGCTAAACTTCAGAAGTAAAAATACTCCCCAAAATGTTGTACATTTTCAACTATTCGTATTGTACCTTAAGTTACTTTGGTATTGGAGGAAAAACACGGTGTCATTTAAAGTGACATGTAGCTTCAACGTGGGATGTAAGGTGATTCAGGTCCTTTGAGAAGACAAGCGTGCAACAACGACACGAATAATGTTGGAATCGAAATCACAGAAACTAAACACCAAATAGCATAGGTTCAATCCGTGTCTCTAACAAGTATCTGGATAACTAAACTTTCTGCTTTACTTGGGTGTGAAGATCATGAAATGTAGTTTATAATTATTTGGGCAGAGAAAAGAGAGAATTTGGGTAGTTATGTAAAATTCAAGATTAAATAAAACCAGTATTATATAGCAGAAATATAAATTGGCTATTACCTTCAGTAATTTAGATCAGGGGTTGGCAGGTCTGTGCACCAAATCTGGTCCACTGTTCTTGTAAATAAGGTTTTATTGGTACACAGCCATACGCACTTGCTATCACCCATGGCTGAGGGCAGAGTTGAGTCGTTGTGAGAGACCTTATGGCCTTCAGGAACTAAAATACTAGCTGGCACCTTGCAGGCAAAGTTTATGACCTGATTCGGGTAGCTGCCTAAAGTGTCCAATTCGCTTGTTCTAAAACAATCCAACAATATAGCACACTTATCTGAAGATTTGAGACCACACATGCACCAGCCTAATAAGAAAAGTCCAATTCCACCCAGAGGGCTACAACAAACTCTTCCCTTTTCCCTACAAGGAATTAAATGAATAAAACTGTGTGAGATTTTACTGGTATGTATCATATGTATGAGTCTTGATGAAAAGTTAAAAATGTGTATTTATACAGATACATAGTGATGTTACTTTTCCTTCCACGTTTAACTCATATACTGTTTTTGGACTTCTGGTTCATAAAATCTGCATCTCTGCACCATTATTTTGAAGGCAAAAACCCGAATGCTGAGCCAGTGGTCAATTCTGAGGTGCCCAGCATGTTCAGGAGGCAGCGTCGGGGAGCCTGTCCCTTACCTGGAGGGGTGTAGGCGTCCATGGAGGTCTGCACGACCAGGGACCTGCGTTTGGAAGGCATAGGCACCGCCATCTTCCGCTCTTTGTGTTTGGCCAGAGCCGCCTGGACAGCTTCCGTGTGGACATCTGAAACGGAGAGAGCTCAGTCACTCAGTGCTCAGCTGAGGTCCCAGAGGCCAAGCTGCACTTTCCTCTCTGTCCCCGCAGCACGGTTCATCCACCTTCTGAAACTCACCAACAGATGGGTGGGCGAGGAAAGAAAATCAGTGTTTACAATTCCAGTAAAGACATTAAAATTTATTCACAGACTTTTAATTATTCATTTTATTACTGCAGAACCCATATCCACAAGCAAACACTGGCTGTAAACTGCACTGAGATTTTTCTTTTTAGGGTGAATGCACCTTGATCTTTGGAGATTCTTTGTAGGTCACACATTTGTGCCTCCAAATCCTTTCGCTGTACTGCTGAGGCGTGTGCACACCTCGCACCCCAACTCACACAGCCACAGTCGCAGCTCAGCTCAACACCAGCCATGGGCCAGGACTGTGTTGGCTATGAATATGGTTTGACTGTGTCCCCACCCAAATCTCAACTTGAATTGTACGTCCCAAATTCCCCATGTGTTGTGGGAGGGACCTAGGGAGAAAGAGTTGAATCACTGGGGCCCGGCTTTCCTGTGCTATTCTCATGATAGTGAATAAGTCTCCTATAGATCTGATGGTTTATCAGGGGTTTCTGCTTTTGCTTCTACCTTGTTTTCTCTTGCTGCTGACATGTAAGAAGAAGTGTCTTTCGCCTCCCGCCATGATTCTGAGGCCTCCCCAGCCATGTGGAACTGCAAGGCCAACTAAATCTTTTTCTTCCCAGTCTCGGGTATGTCTTTATCAGCAGTGTGAAAATGGACTAACACAACCATTAACACATTTGTGGCTATTAACCCATTACATTAATTCCACACATTCACCGAATGCCTCTTCTGTAAGTCCCTACAGGCTGGGGACGCAGTGGTGATAAGGCAGTCTCATGGCATCTTACACAGGCCACTTCCTAATGGATGAGACAGGTGATAGATGGGCTAGAGAATTAAAGCAGAGACAGAGGCAGCGGCAACTCCAAACTGTGAAGCCAGGGAAGAACCCTCTTAACACAAAATCAGAACAACAGGAATGAACCATACCCGCTGTCAAGACGAGAATCTTTGAGACACAGGCAAAAACCCGCTCAAAGGCCCTACACTGTGAGTGAGAACGGTGTTAGCAGAATTAAAACCACCACCACCAAAAATGGCCAACGTGAGTGAAGACGGGTTGGGGGAGAGGGTCCCCAGGATGGGGCAGTTTTCTCTGAAGCTGCGAGAATGATCCCACTGAAAGGGAATTGGACGTGGCTTTCTGGCTTAAACCCCCCACACGCTGCCCCCTGAGACAGGACCCAGACCCTCAGCATCACGCCCACAAGCAGCTCATCGCACTGCTTGGTCTTGGTCAGCCTTTGTGCACACTTCTCTCCCTAACTAGATAAAGAGCCTGGTCATCTGGCCACTATTTCTAATTCCCAGGTCAAAAGCCACTATGTGACTGACTTTGCTCATGGCCAAAAACTGAAGGGATCAATGAGGTGACAGTCCACTCACTTCCACAAATCGCTTTTTGTTTTGCATCTTCTCCATTTTAAACTTTCTGGATATAATTTCAAATACACAGAAAATCTGCAAGACCAGCGTAGCGAATTCCCACATAACTTACCAGGCTCAACTTAGGCCCATCTGCTCCTATCTTACATCACTGCTTTCCCCCCTCCTCCATGAATTTTCTAAGTCAAATGAAAATAAATTTCAGATACTATATCCTTCCATACCTAAATGTTTCAATGTATTTCCTCAACACAAGGATATGCTCTCAGACTCATTTTCCTCAAAATCAGGAAATTAAACTGTCATATACAAAGTTCACTTTCAAATGGTGTCAACTGTCTCCATAATTTTCTTACTTTTTCTTCCTATTTTACGATCCAATCCAGGATCATGAATTGTCATGTGATTTTTACCCTCCTAGAATCCAAGTTTCTCAGCTTTTGTGTTTCTTGAAATTGAAAACGTTAAAGAATACAGGTCAGTTATTGTACAGCTTGTCCTTTATTTTGGTATCCTCCGGACTAGACTCAAGAGTATGGATTTTAGCAGGGACACCGCAGAAGTCTGTCCTATGTGACAATGTTAACATCAGCAACTCAGTGAAGGTGGTGCTTAAGTTCCTCCAAAGCAAAGATGCTACTTCTCGGGTCACAATTAAGATTTGGGAGGAGAGACCATGACACTATGTGCATATTCTGTTTTCCATCAATTCTTCACTACTAGTTTTAGCATCCACTGATTTCCTGTCATTCCTTCTAAATCATTAGATCTTCCATATTCACGTAAAATTATTTTGTCTTTCATCATTCATTTACATATGTCAAAATGTACTCATGCAGTCTGGCTTGGTGGGCTATAATTCGTAGTTATAATGGTTTGTTTTGTTGCTCAACTGGTTCCAGATGTGACACCGGATTCCCCAGCCCCTGGACCAGGGCTCCTTCTTGTGAAGAACAGTGTTTGGAAGCTAAGACTGGGCACCGGGTGCTGCTGGGCATTGCCGGCAAGCAGAACACACAGCATGCGTGTACACGCATGTACACCCACACCCATCCACAGGCACTTCTGTCCCTGTCTACATCTGTCGGAAGCCACCAGCTCATACTGGTACCTCCTGCTGCAACCCAATCCCACATGATCCATTCCAGTCTTTGGCCTTTTCTTATTTCTACCTCTCTTGCCAAGAAAGAAACCTGGCTCCTGTAACCCTCAATATATTCACTACTTTATTAAGCTTATTTGCTTAAGCCTGGAGATACAGAAATGCTTTCAGAACTGCTCTCTAATACCACTGTGAAAAATCTATCAAGTAGAGTTCAGTATTCATTTGTAATTCTTTTTTCATTTTTCTTTTTGGAAGGGAGGGAGTACAAAGTATACACAGTGAAATGTTCAGATCTTAAGTACACTTGGTGCATTTCGATAAATGGAAATCTATTACCCTAATCAAACCTTTTGCCTCAAAGTTCCCACACATCCCCTCCCAGTCAATCCTGGCCCTCACGAGACAGCCACTGTTCATTCTCGAGGAGTGTTCTTGGCGCTCTTCCGTCACCCGTGACTCGCATAGATTCTCCATCGTCACATGGACTCCACGGCATGGTGTTCACTCTCTGCTCAATTCAAGGCTACTGGAACTCATCCCCGTTGCCTGTTTTGGTTTCAGTATTTTGTACGTTTTTCCCGATGGGAACTAGGACAATGTATGAATATATCAGAATTTGCTCATGTTTCTCCAGATGAGAGAGATTTATGTTGTTCCCAGTTTTTGGCTATGACAATTTACTCTGGAGATAATTCTTTTACAAGGACACACATTTTCATCTCTCCTTGTGAACGTCTACAGTATACCTGCTGGGCCATATGGTAAGTGTACACATTTTAAAGAAACTGCCACACGGTTTGCTAAAGTGGCTGTGCCATTTTAAGTTTCCATCAGTCTGAGATTCAGCCTGTCATATCTTCACCAGCACCTGCTACTGTCCTCCCTCTCCACTCTTGTGAAGGGGAACCTCGTGGGTGTAAGTTGTACTTACCCAATGACTCCCTGGTGAGCACCTCTCACGGGCCACTGGGCATCTATATACATCTGTTGTGAAGAGTCCATCTTGCATGCTTGCAAAATTCACACCATTTGTTTGTACATTTCCTAAGATGTTCTAAATAAGGCCCTGTGTCTTCTGTACATCAAGCATCTCCCTGCTTCCAAGTCTTTATGCCTTTTAGTTCTCCCGACTCACTTCATGGACGAGGGCCCCAGTGCGCACCATGCGAACCTGAACCACGGAGAGTGGCCACACTCCCGACACCCCTGACTGTGGGCAGAGCTCCCCGGCTGCCACCACCGAGGAGGGGGTCAGCTCTTGTTTTTCAGGAATGGCCTTTATCAAACGGAGAAAGTTCCTTTCTGTTGCTGATGTGACAGGAAATTCGTATAAGGACTATTAAATTTCAACAGATGTTTTCCAGTGTCTACCGAGAGGATAAAATGGGTTTTCTGCTTTATTTTTGTTAATGTGGTGAATTACATTGATTTTTGAATGATGAGCCAAGTGAGCACTGCAAAACTACACATCATGAGAACAAACTCTAAGTGGTCATGGTATTCTTCTCCCTTTTACATATTTCTGGATTTGATTTAGTAAGAATTTGTTAAAAGCTTCAGCATCTGTATGTCAACAAGAGTGAAAGGTGTGAGATTTTGCTTCGCATGCAAACTAACAAAGGGAGCCAGCACCAGCCCAATGCACTGACGGAGCCGGGACATTTCCGGGCCAGAAACAAAGGGCTTGTCACGCACAGTGGGGCGGCAGGATCCACTCATCCCAGTGATACTCAGGATCACACAGTGGGGCAGCAGGACCCACTCACGCCAACGATACTCAGGATCACACAGTGGGGCAGCAGGATCCACTCACCCCGACGATACTCAGGATCACACAGTGGTCAGGTAAAGAACTGCTTACATTTTTCTCTTCTGAGAAAATTTGTTTTTAGCAGCCATGGCTCTCAAGGCACTCACTTGCACATTATACATAATACTGCTTGTGGCCAAAGTCACGGTACCTTCCTACTCTTAAATAATTTACCAAGAGTTCTGAAAGGCAAGTATTTTCAAGAGAAAAGTGGTATGTGGCTTACCCTAGGCTAAGGAGTGACTTAGCCGGACAATTCTTGTGAAATATGCGATTTTTCTAATTAGAGAATCTGAGAACAAGGTATCAGTGTGAGCCTGTTATCTCCACGAGGGAGTGAAATGGGTGCTGAGAAATTGAGGGAGCCTCAGAACAGGAATCTCACAACCTCAAATGGGGAATCCAGCAAATGGGAAAGCAGTCGCTCGGATTCACGGACGTTTCGGAAAGATTCACGTCCACTCCGTGCTGCGTTTGAGCGACTTTTCTTCTTGTGATGTGGACCCGATAGAATGGAGGTCCCACGTAGACATTCGGCATTTGTGAGGGTCTGGCACCATGACTCACTGCTACAG